TTTCATACAACTTACACTCTGTTATGGATATAGAGATGGGGAATGTATGAACAAACAAAGTAGATAATCCAAGAAGCAATAACATCTAAAAGGAAAATAAAACAAGATCTTGCAATATAGAGAGACTAGTTAGAGGAAGTCATTACACTTGGATGGCCAAGAAAGGTTTCTCTGAGTCTTAGCTCATTCATTTGAGCAGGGACTAGAAGGAATAGCCATGTAAACTCATGTAGGTTTATCTTTGTATGTTTTTCTGTTGTTTCTTTCCTGTCTCACTAACTCTTTATCTCATGATTGGCTATAGGTTTTTTTTCTCCTTTTACAATTTCATTCTATACCTCATGTCCTCTTTATCTTCAACCTAAAATATGTACAAACATTCAAAGATCTCAAAAATTTTGTCTTGATCATTTGTCTCCTTTAGGTTACTGCTTATGAGCATCTTTATTTTTTCATCTGCTATTCTTTTGTCTACACGTTTTCATAAGGTTTTCTTTTTCCATTTCACTATTTAGCGAAGTTACTGAGACAAAAGTCAACAATAAATTGAGAATTGACAAAACTAGTATCTTTTTAATGGTCATCTTTATTAAGGTGTCTTCGAGTAAAACCGTTTATTGATGACTCACTGAAATTCCCTTAACTATGGCTCAGCATCCTTCTTTGTATGTTAGTTTTCTTATCACTTGAATGCTCTTTCTTCATAAGATTCTATTTTCTCTGCTCACTTTTTCAAAGCTTCTGTTTTTCATTGCTTTGTTCTTCATTGTTTTTCCTTCTAGATGTAGATCATGTCTATAAATATTACCATTTTAATTATTTATACTTCTCTATGGTGAGAAAAGTCAAGAGCTTTTCATGCCACTTATCAAGCTGGTATAATAACATAGCTCTTAGTTCAGGTTTCTTTCCATGAAAGGCTGTTTTCCACATAAATGTATTGATACTTTAAATCATGTGCAAAATTGAATTCAGCTTTCTACTGGAAATATATTAATATTTCTCTCAAGTATGTTTCCTCTCTAGGTTAATTATGTCATTGTCATAATAATGCAAATATTATAAATCTTCACTTTCAGAATCAACCTATAGAACAAGCATAAATGATTTAATGTAATTATGAAAAAGAACGTATATGTTACCTATTATAACTATGTAAATAGAGGTGCAGTGAAGATTGGGTTGTAAATGAGATGTAGAAAGGGGCAGTAAAAGACAGAGGGAAGAGTAGGGGATGTGTTTGCTCATCATACGTGGTGTGAAGTTGAAATACAGCTAGCATATATAAAATAAGAAATAAATTATCAATAAAATAATATCATCAAGGACTACAAATATAAACAATTAAAATATAAACATGTAAAAATATCAACATTGGAAAGGAGGGGAGAAAGGAAGATGAAAAGTCAAATAAATGACCTAAATCTTCATTTGTAGAAAAAGTCAATAAGTGACATTTTAAAGAAAAAAGTATATTGTTTAGAGATATGAAGGTAATGAGATATAAAATTCAAGTTAAAATCCCCTGCCCCCCGGAGATGATTGCTTTTCATAAATTCTTATTATTTAATTGGTTTTATCTCACATTCTCCCTCTCTCTCTCTTTCTCTCTGTGTATATATATAAAACACACATAAATATGCATGCATATTTACATGTTTATATGCACATATCATTTGTAGAATATAGTATGCCATATAATAAATATATTAGGATTTTTTTGTATATGAGGAAAATATGCATGTGTGTATGTGTGTGTGTTTAGTATTGATCTGAGTCAAATTTCCTGTGTAACTGATAAAGATTTTTCGATATGTAAATTTATGTTTCATCTTATATAAGGGAAATTTTCTTGATTTATATTTTAAAATATTGTTTTATTATTCACGAACATATTCTTAGAAATTTCCAAATGTATATGCAGAATCTTTGCTTCTCTACTATTGTAACCTCTTTTTCTCTGACCCTTTTCTTGTCTTTATCTTTATCTCACAGACATTCTCTTACTTCAGAGTCATTCTCTGGTTAATGTACTGCTTTTCTTCAGTTACCTTTATGAAATTTCTATGTCATCTATTCATTGTTGGATACTTTATTTGTATTTTTTTAGATTTTTTTATCTTTAATATTTTTTCCTAAGTCTTATCAACTCATTGTATTCCTCACCCTCTTTTCTGGTTTTGGTTCATTTCTCTTTTTAATTTCTGATTTTCTCAGTTTAGATTTTTTTTTTAAAGTATATCTCCAATAGTTTATTTTTCTAAATTCATTTCAGTTTGAAGTGTTATGTTACAGTTTTTTTTTTCCTGTTTCATGTATGATTTTTAGAGGAAAGTTTTCCTCAGCTGAGTTGTTTTGATTCTCACTTTCTATATCTTCTTATAATAGCTTTGCACATGGTTAGTCTGAATCTTCCTCTTCCTATGCAGGGCTCCGCATCAAAGAGCTTCTGTCATTATTATAAAGTATACTTTCCTTAATGGATGAGGCTTTTGGTAGTGGTGGTGGGAAGGGGAAAGATAGGGATATATTGTGGTTCTCTTTCATTGGCCTAGGATCCTTAGTATTTTCTGTTTATTCCCCTTTTTACAATTTCTAGGATACTTCCAGTGTCACTGGTCCTGTATTTCCTTTTCCCTCAAAAGTGAAAAGTTCTCTAAAGTTCCCAATTTCAATCTCATTTAATTTTAATCTTTTTCCCTATTGTTGGTATTTTAAAATGCCAAGTCCTAGACCTGTTTTCAGCATGCTAGCACTTAATGTCAGATATTGTTGTTTTGACTCAATTTTCTTTTGTGTTTGTTACTTTTTCATATGTCTTTTCTCCATGGAGTGTTTTAATCACCTTAATCCCTGCTCTCCAGATCCACAAGGTTATGGCAGTGACAGAATACCAGCAGTGGCTTTGTTGTAATTTGGTGTATATTTATCTAGTTAAAGATAATTTGAAATTCACACTATTCTTTATATCTAAGTAATGTTGAAATCCGGCATCATATAAGGATTTTGGGGGCTCTTTCTTGGCCTTACCTTTTTTTAAGTTTGTGTGGAGTGATTTAAATTTAGCCAACTGCCTCTATCCTAGAGCCAACATAAAACCAAATTATATATGTTTCAAAAATGATTACATATTTATCATAGAGCATCAACAAAGTACAGAATGTTAAAAAATGTAATTAAATTATCCTCAATCCAACTACTAAAACATAATTACCATTTACTACCATTGCAGTGTAGTTTTTGTTTCCTATACATAGGCATATGCACATCTATGTTATATATCTATATGATATATGCATGTGATTATATGTGTGGAGAAAAAGAGAGAGTCAGAGAAAGAGAGAGACAGAGAGAAAAGGACAGAGACAGAGACAGAAATTTCTCAGAATCTTTACCTACAGAAACTGAGCCCTGGGTCAAAGTTGAATTACTCTGTGTATGAAAAGGAATGAGAAGACATTTTGACTATATTGGTTGGGATTGGAAAAATGGCAAGACCTAAGAAGGAAAAATAGAAATGGATATCTAAAATGGTATTATTTATGAAATTCTATGTATAATATATTCTAAATTTAATTTTCTTACTTTCTAGTGAAATCTACAGCAAAATCTTCACTGCCCATAATCTTTGGAAAGCAGATTTTCTTTCACAAGAATACAAAGTAGAACTGAGTTCTGTTATAAAGAGTAAGTTTGGTATAAAACAAAACAAAGGAGAAATACCCATAGAACAGCCATACATCTATATATATGCTATAAAACTTAGGCTATTTTTTCCCTTTTCATTAAATATTCTGCCCTTCATTAAATACTCTTTTAAAATTCTTGACTTTATTTTTTGTAGACTCTTCTTCACATGACAGGCCATCATCACTTTAATAATTCCACTTATTCTATTATCTTGAATAATTCTGTAGTTATATAAAGAGTCTATCATTTCAGATTATTCCTTGGGATAGATTCCCTGAAGTACAATATAGATACAGATACAGATGATATATGTATCAAAGGTTTATAAAGGTTTTTAGTTTATACATATTGCCAAATTCCTATAAGGCTTATGCTATTTACGCTCCCACCACTATACTCGTTACCAAGCCTAGTTTAAAAGTTGTAGCCAATTTTACAGATTTAAAAAGTATCTTATTTTAATTTTTTTAGGTTAAATGTTTTTCAAATATTCATTGGTCATATTTTTCAAGGGGAAAAATTGTTGAATAATCTGCTCATATACTTTGTTCATTATTCTACCAGGATATTTATTTATTCTTCTAGTTTTACAATGTCTGCATGTATTCTTTACATATAAGTGAAATCATATTTTTGTTATTTTTATGTTTACCTCAGTTATCTATTTACTTTTCAATATTGTTTAGGACATTCAGTTGATGTAAAGAATTTTTAAAATAGTTCAATTTAATAATCCTTTTAATGAGTTCTTTCTTTGTGTATAATTCTTTAGAAACTTTTTCCCAATCAGTGAAAGATTCATGTACATTTTCACCTTTAATTATGATTTTTAAATTAACGTGTATTCCATTTAGAATATAATGTATGGTGACATAAATGAATGGTTTCTAATTGATACTTGGTCTGCTCCAGGGTATCCTTCTGTTCTGTGGTTTTTATAATGACACGAAGACTAAATTATTTTAATTGTTATAGTTTAGTATATTTTAGTATCTGGTAGGGCAAGCACTATATATTTCATTGCTTTTTGGCTAGCTCTATAAAATGACATTTTAAAACTATTACAAACTTTTTTATTACTTCTGGAATATACATACAATATATGATTAATTCATGGCTATCATTAAGTCATTGTAATTTCAAATACAGCTAGCTCCTATCTCAGGAGCAACAAACACCACTAATCCTGATTATACTACAAAGCACTATAACTAAAATTGTGTAGCTATGAAAATCAACCATTCAGATAGCTGCAGTAATAGCATAACTTGGTTTACCAATTTCTTTGTAAAAACATGCTAATACAATACACAGAGCAGATTCCTGAGAAAAACAAAGATAAGCGTGTATAAAGTAATGTCTGAAATAATTCCTTGGCAGTTTAAGAGAAACTTTGCCACATTTATTTACCAAAATCTCTAGAACTACACACCCACGACATTTTCATTCTATATTATTTACTTTTCCCCTACCAGATTTTTGGCAACTGCGACTCCAAGAAACTTGAGGTTTCAATAACATGACCAATGTTTCTAACTATTATAAATACTGCACATCATTTTTCACATAATTACCTTGTGAAGTCTGTCATCTCCATCATGATCATACACATCTTCTTGGCCAGGACAATGATATCATTGCTTGTATCATCCCATATCTCAATCTCAGCATCCAGCTTACTTTTCACTTTCTTGAAATCAGCCACTTGCTCAGCAATCTTTTCTTTTTCTGCCTCAGGCAGTTGAGTCATCTTAGCCTAAAACATGTAATAATTAGATTTAAAATCATTCCACTATGTCGAAAGCATTTTAGGAAGGAGTGGACATTATCGGATATTCATGAAACTTGCTTATTTAAAATCAGACATGTTTCACAGTTTAAGTCATTTAATCAAAACTTTCCAGTTTTAAATTTTCACAAAAATCTGTTAATTTCTAATTATTTGCACTAACACTATGTTACATTTGAGAATAAAAATGTAGAATTTGGTGTCTCAGCATACTTAAATCTACTTTGGAAAATAAATATAGGCCTTTGCAAATTTCTAATGCACTAAAATTTTAAATTAATTCAAATTCAGTGTAATACATCACATTTGTTAGAAAAGTGAATACAAAAAGGTAGAAATATAGCATAATTTGACTTGAAATGAGACTATGTCTACCTGTATATGTGTGTATATACATAATATAGATCTTCACATAAATGCTGAATATACATTGGTAAGTAATAACAGTATACATCTAAAAATCATATATATATAAACAAGCACAAACATAAAATAATAAAGATGTATATTTTGTGCATATAAACAAATTCAGGTATATACGTGTGTACAAATGGTTATGAGGAAAGTGTAAGTATATTATGGGCAGTGTTTATTATGGACAGTTCTCCCTAATTAGCATGCTGCATCTTGAGGTGTTATTCTCCCCTGCACAGTAAATCTTAATCTTTGTTAGCATGATATCATTCTTTGGATGTGTCACATTTTGAACAGTATGCAAATTGTCTTCCAATTGCAATCTGGAATGCAGTGTTGGTAGAAAACCATCTATACCACCAAACTACCATATTCATAACCTTAGCACTGGGGACCTATGAGTTTTTGTCAAAAAGAAAAAAAAAAAAAGAATCTTGAAGTAAATGTGATTCGATAATCCCAAGGCCATAAAATTTCACGAGCCTAACCGTGAAATTGTATTGTCTTTCAGTTATATTCTAATAGTAGAATAAGGACATAGGTCTTAGAGGGAGCATTTTGAAAAAGATAAATCATGTAAGTGGAATTTACTTATTAGATTATTCACATAGAATACACGATACCTATAATACCTATGTTTTTCCAGATGCTAGTCTCTAGCCTATAAATGAGCAAATAAGAAGAAAGCACCTCAAAAAGCTTTTCAATATTCTTGATACTAGGTCCAGAATACTGAAACCATACTTTCTTGAACTATAGTATACAATAGCAATAAAGCTTAAATATATCAAGGAATTAAAAGAATGGTCAATGAAAAATCCAATCAAAATACAAAAAATTAAAGAATCAATATCAATTGTCTGATGTTTATTCTCTATGATAAAACTAACTCAGGGTCTAAAATAAATTGGTATTTATAGAAATCTAAAGATTAGTCATGCCTCAATTTTAACGTAGTAGAGAAAACAAAAAATGGTGCTTTCTGATTTGAAGCTTTCTTTGTTTCAACAGATTTAGGGGGTACATGTTTTTTGTTACACGGATGGATTGTATAATGCTGACGTCAGGACTTTTAGTGTACCCAACACCACAACAGTGTACATTGTACTCAATATGTAGATTTTTTTTTATCCCTCATCCCCCTTCCACCCTCAAGCCTTCTTAGTTTTCAAGGTCCATTACACCTCTTTATGACTATTATATATGAGCCTCATTTAGTTTCCCCTTACAAGTGAGAACATGCATTTGTTTTTACATGCCTGAGATACTTCACTTAGAATAATAGTCTCCAATTCCATCCAAGTGGCTGAAAAAGACATTTCATTCCTTTTTCTGGCTGAGTAGTATTCCATGCACTCTAGTGCACACACATAACATTTTCTTTATCCATTCATCAGTTTGTGGGCATTTAGGTTGATTCCACATCTTTGCAATTGTAAATTGTACTGTGATAAACATTTAGGTGGAGGTGTCTTTTTTATAAAATGACTTCTTTTCCTTTGGGCAGATACCCAGTAGTGGGACTGCTGGATTGAATGGTAGGTCTACCTTCAGTTCTTTGACAAATCTCCATACTATCTTCAACAGAGGTTTTACTAGTTTACATTACCACCAACAGTATATAAGCATTCCTTTTTCACTCCATCCATGTCAACATCTGTTGTTTTTTGACTTTCTAATAATGGCCACTCTGACAGGGGTAAGGTTTTATCTCATTGGGTTTTAATTCACATTTCCTTGATGATGAGCAATGTCAAGAATATTTTCATATGTTTCATGGTCATTTAGCTCTTCTTTTGAAAAAAAAAATCCGTTCATGTCTTTTGCCCATTTTTTTGATGGAATTATTTTTCTTTCTTGCTGATTTGTTTGAGTTCTTTATAGATTCTGGATATTAGTCTTTTGTCACATACATAGTTTGCAAATATTTTCTCCCATTCTGTAGATTATCTATGTATTCTGTTGATTATTTCCTTTACTGTACAGAAACTTTTAGTTTAATTAAGTCTCATTTATTTATTTTTGTTGTTGCTGTATTTGCTTTTGAGGTCTTAGTCATAAATTCTTTGAAATTTTCTTTAAATGTCTTAGTATAATGCTTGACACATATTGACTGCTCAAAAAATGATAACTATTCCTTATTCACTAAGAAAATTATCAAAATACATTCATATGTCTAATACAAAGTTTTCATTTTATTAATTATATTTTCTTTGAAGAATCTTATTAAGCTGCATAAGACTAAATTTTTAATTGTTGAGCTAAAGTGCCCTTCCTTAGCATCCAAAAATAGTTTGCAATTTCTTCTCTCCGGAAATGTGCCCTATGCAATGTGATAAAGAGAAGAACAATTTTTACTACTGCTGGCATATTGCAAGGCACGTAAATGAAGACACAGATCACTACTTCTGAAATGAAAAGTAATATGCAAGCATGTTAAGTAAATTATAAGCTACCAACCCATTAAACTGGCTCAAAAATAGAAATGAGTTTTTTCCATCTTGACTACTGGTCATTATCATTCTCTTTAGTCTCATAAAAAGTGTTTCAACTTTCAAATAATGATAGCTATAGATTGGTTCAACTATAGACAGGGCTTCTTTTTACATTCTATATCTCAGATAATAAATTTATGACACTCGATCTAATGAATAATGCTGAAGTATACATTGATATATTATGAAAAATTATTTAGTATTCTCATAGTAATGTTAAAACTATTCAGGAGGTGATCTGGTTAAGTTTATTCCAAGTTCTGTTACTTGGAATGCCACTGATTTCCAATATGACCTTGAGGAAGTCACTTAACCCTCCTAAGTTTCCACAGACACAAAGTGACAATAATTGCAACTGCTATCCACCTGACATGCAGGGAAGAGAGTCGATTATTGGATAACATTGAGACTGACCCTGTCGTGGAGAGGGAGCTCATCAGTTGCACTCGATTTCCTTAATAACATCTCAACTCACATGGTGAATTACAATCAACAGATGTTTACCTCTAACAAGATAAGGGCCGAAAGTTAGGCAATAGTTTGCAATATCAAAAATTCTAGTGAATTCTGGTCCTTTTTGACAGGGAAACAA